AAAAATAAAATAAAAAATAAAAAACAAAAAAAAATAAGTCGGAACTGTCACGAAAAGTTGTGTAGATCGAAATTTTGCACGTGAAGTTTGTCCAAAGACTTTCTTAACATTAAACCGGCACATTTTCATATTGATTAAATATGAAGGTGTGTTGGTTTAATGTTGGTTTAATTATTTTTCAAACACGTGTCAATAATAATTAAGTATAAAAGCATGGTTATTAACACGTACGTACAATAAATAAATTGTTACGTATCGAAGTTATTCTTGCTAGAAATGGTTGGACACTCCGGCTCTACATATTGAGTTAAACTGATTAACAATAATATCGACATAACATTTTTGAAACCAATCTCCGAAAATTAACCGTGTCAGTGACGTCAATTTGAACTTTATTTCGGCGATTCGATGAATTTTTGGAATTGGACCTTTATCCAACCCTCAAATATTTTTAAAAATTGGATCTTTATTTATATAAAGCCCGTTACGTAATAATCAGAACTTGTTCGTTTCGACCATCAAACGTTACTTTTTGATGCATTAACATAATTATTATAATTAACATATCAATAACGTAACTTCGAAATTTTTGTTTGTCCCTCCGCGTGACGCATGATTACAAAACTATTTTGAAAACAACAATTGATTACCGGTACAGTCAGGGATATTACCAACTTGAATAAAGGTCAAATTCCTCAAATCAGCCGAATTGGGTTAACACTAGTCACTATATGTAGATTGCAATAATTCCCCGGGATTTATTGTTATCGTTATACAAATAAATTAAGAAGATTACTAATACGAATAATAAATTCAGCTGAAAATAATCGGTATTTTTAATATTTATTTGTTTAATGTTACAGATTAACAAAAAATAATAAATCTGATCATTATTAGAAAAATAGATTACTTTGTGGCAACCGAGAGCCGGTTTCGTCATAAATGTGAACAAGATCAAGATGAATGTTAATTTACTTTTAATTAATATAGATAAATGTATAAGTAAATGTTTATAATTAATATTAAAGTGAAATCTTCGTTTGGTGAAAAAAAAAGTATATGTATAATTCATCTCGAAAATGCGAAAAAAAGTGTGACTTTCGTTTAATAAATAACTTAAAATTAGAGTAAATCAACAACAAAATATTGCATTTGTGTTACTTAAACCAAAAAAAAAAAAAAAAGCTAGAGAAATTACGAGATATTAATTTAATTAATTTGTGTATTATTTGTGTATATACATTTTTATCGATGTATCGATATATCTATCTTAATAATTATTATCGATGTATCGATATATCTATATTAATAATTATTAATAATTAAAGATCAAATAAAAAATCACAAGTATTTTTAGTTGAATCAATGTTGTTGTCATGAAAAGAACCGGGATTCAGATATTCATATTCCTGCGGAATACTAGGTTGGCCATACATATATGGAACCGGATTCATATTAATATGATCTATCGTGTGCAAATTTTGTAGATACGGGAACGAATGGTTTGGAATAGTTTGAGCAAAATCCGTAATTGGCTCATAAAATAAATCCACTGGTGATTGTATATTATCAAACGAAGGCATTACTTGAGAATTTGAGGAAGATTCGGATGGTGGCGGTTGATCTGATGATGGTTGTATTTTCACAGATGAATCGATGGTTTTAGAAACATTGGTTTTTGAAGATTTGGCATTTTGAGCAGATTTAACTGACTCTGAGTGAAGCCTCTTAATGTCATTTGCGATCTGTTTATAAAAACGACGAACATGCTCTGGTTCTTCTCTCCAAGCATCTCCTGCCATACTTGATATGTCCGTCATGAGTGCCGAATTACAACAATGTGCCTTCAGTGCTTCTGCAAATTGAACGCGATATACCAAGAAATAATTAGCACATCTCTTCTTTGGGGACCCATCACGACGCGGCTTAACAAAATCACGAGCATTTATTTTGGGAGGGAAAGGAACACGAATCGATCTCCATTCTTCTGGCATGGGACGTCGCGTATGCGAAGAGGGAGATCTACCATTTTCATGAACAAAAGCCCACTTTGGCATTTTCAAGATTCGAGTTATAAAAGTTTATATGTCAATATTGAATGAATAAATATGGTTCTTGAATGAATAAATATAGATTTTGAATGAATAAATATGTTCAAAAGTGTGCATAAGATTAAATTTTTATCAGTGGATTAAACAAGTATTAAATATATTTACTTATTTTGTCTCAAAATATGAAAAGGTAAGCTGAAATAAATAGATCATGGAGTGATGCTCGTTTATATAGTCAAAGGGATGTTTGTTCATGAATGTCATACAGTGAGAAGTTACCCCGCATACCGACAAATTATATGGGATTTTTTCTAAATGTATAACCCTACGAACTATGTAAATCATATGATCAAGCCAAGGTTTTCCTGACAACGATCTATATCAAAATAGTGCAGATTTAGCAACTCAGACTTGGCATTGCATAGCTGAGATCGCTCAAAGAATTGCTTTTTTTCTAATTTATATTAACGGATGTAGATCTTTTAATTAAAATATTCTATAGCATTTAGATCGAATTCGTACGCTCTTCATTGATGATCAGATATCAAATGTTAGTGTTAGGGTTGTAAATAACTTTTTATATCAAAATTTACGAGGGTTATTACAAAATTTCCAAGATAAAAAAAAAGAATGAACCGACTTGTTGCATACTGACCAGGTTTTCTATTATATACTTAATGTTATTGACCTTCGCGCACATATCGAATTTTACACCGTGTCATCGTTACTGATGCTTATGTATCAGGTAAGTTACATGTATAATCGATATTAGAAATTACAACAATAAATACGATTATATCGATAATTAAATAATGCTTCAAAAGGATATTTATCGACCGAAATCTGATGTTCCATCTCATAAGTAATCCGAATTTTTAATTCATTAACTAAAGTCTTACGGTGATTTTCCATATATATCATCACAGACATGCACTTTAGAATGTTTGTTCACTCAAAGTACATGTTCATTTTACTTCAATGTTAGATTAATATTTATTTATAGTACCATTATCTTAGACCACTAACCTTGAAAGTGTTCTGCTACATTTATTCATCTTAATATTTGACGATCTGATGTTCTATGAAACTTAACTATTTGGGTCCGTTCTGATTTTACTGAATTTCGTAGATCACTTACATCTCTATCGAAGAGGTCGGATTTCTCGAATATCCTTCATAACTATTCAGTGAATATTCACGAGTCTTGGCCATTCATAAATAACATTGTGTGGGATATTCATTGAATATAATGTAGCTGACCCTGATTTTAATTTGCTGAATAGTCACATCTCCGGATCTGGGTTTACGTACGTAAGTACGTACATATTTCACAATCACGTGAGGTGTTTCAATTTTCGTGTGATTTGCAAGATTTGCAGTTGCGAAAGGATTTGCACCGTAAATCCACCAAATATGTCGTATAAGACGCATGTGATGAAATGCATTTTCATGAATTAGCCATGAAAAAAATTTTTTTTTTGTTTTATCCGAGAAACAATTTATAATACTTGATGTACGGATGGAACTTAATGACCATTACAGCAGAAAAGCTTTTTTTTAGCATCGGACTTACACAGTAGAGATATCATACTTCGCATTGAATGCATTCTTCTCTGTGATTTACGTATTATGGATCAAACTTTTATTATCTCACTATGCTGTATATGGTAAAGTTCGAAATTACTACCAAATAAGTCAAATTAATTACGCACGAGTGATACAAACACAAAAAAGGAAATTCAACGTAAAGTTCGTGAAAATAAAAATTTAGGGTTAGAACGCTAAAGTTAGATGCTATAGAATTAAACGTTTATCTCCTATATGTAAAATTTCTTTCGTTTTTTTTCGTGTTTTACTTCGCTTCGCTCACGTGTCGGGCTGATCCGGGATAATCACATTTTACGTTCTCCGATTGGCTAATTTCCCTTTTTGGATTTGTATCACTCGCACAAATAAGTGCACGCATAAGTGCACGCCGTACATATGCGACGGGACCATATACAAAAATTTAGTCAAACGTGCACTTAGAGAGGTATTGCATTTAGGGAGGTAAAAATCTATAGATGTAATATTAAGAGAAGACGTGCATTTAGGTAGGTGCTTCATAGGACGTGCACTTTGGGGGGTAGCATTTAGGGGGGTCTGACTGTACTTTATACCTCATGAGTGAGCCTATTAATGTAATGTTTGAGGGATCACACATGAATCTAAAGCTGAAACGGTACCGAATAGGGATGGCCAATTATACATATAATAACCGTATAATTGATATATAATATTTTAGTTTAACAAAGGTGACCAATAGAAATCTAGATGAAATTTTTTTCCATAGAAATGAATACGTGGACACGGCATAACACCCTAAATCATCATATAAGAATATCTAATTAATAAAATATCACATGCAATTAGTAATTTCCATGTGATGATTTAGTATCACGGCCTCGTGCCCGTGTGATGATTTGAAATCACACCCCGTGCTCCAAACCCTAGTCAGCAGGGACGATGATTTATGCAAATTACATAAAGCCGCATAATATATTCGATAATACCGCTGCATAAAGTATGTTGCTACGTATTAAGTAAATTTGCATAATTGGCCCTCTAAATACAGTTCCGAAAGGCTCCGAATAGAAAATCAATCAACACAAATTACGAGCCAGGCCGAGAAAAACATTTGAGGTAAGTTCAGAAGTATTTCGAATGGTTGCTTCCGTACTAAAATGATGTGTTATGGCGCAAAACGTAGCATAATCATACATAAATATAAATTTTGGATGCAGAATACGCGCATAATCATAAAAAAAGGGTGAATTTACAGATATGGGCCCAAAAATGAAAATAATTACAAATAAGGCCCAAAATGAAAATAATTGTCGCAGATCATAATGAAATCGGATTAAAATGAAATGAGGGGTTTCTATTTGACCCTCTAAACCCCAATTATACTTGTTTATTATAAAACCTGCTTCTAAACCCTAATCCTAACCCTAAAAAAATGCTAAAAAATACACCCCAAAAATTTGTATTTTTCGGTGGTTTGTCTATTTTACATTATCCCTCATTTCATTTTAATCTAATCTGCCACAATAATTACAGATAAAGATCCAATATTTGAAAATTATTACAAATAAAGGCCCAAATATACCATCAAAATTGCTAGCCGATTTAAACATAATGGTATCCTGATTAATTGCCTCATATCGTGATTAAATAGGTGTTTTAGAATTATTATTCATTATTCAGAATTAAAAAGAAAACACAAAAATCCGACCGACCAAACGGATTTTTGAGCAAAACGAAAA